CTCATGTTTCCTCTGCTGGACGCAGGATCATAGAATCATTAATGTTAGAAAAAACATCTAAGACCACCTAGTCCAGCTGTCCACTTACCACCAATATTGCCCTCTAACCATGTCCCTCAGTGCCAAATCTCCACAGTCCAAACACCTCTGGGAACAGTGATTCCACCACCTCCCTGAGCAGCCTGTGCCACTGCATCACCGCTCTTTCTAAGGAGAAATTTCTCCTGATATCAACCTGTTGGAATAGGGAAACTGGATTCCTCTGAGGGCACACTGGTACTTATCAACTGGTGGAGAAGCTATCAGCATTTCTTCCTCACTGTTCCCACAGGTGCAGCTCTGCCTGGTCCTATAACCCAGGTGCTGTGCCTCCTTCTGCTTCATGCTACAAGAACTTTACAGGCAGCCACGGCTGCTTTTGAAAACTGGGACAAGTAACAAGGAGAAGGGATGTGCTGTCACCTATTCACCCTTACTAGAAAGAAATAGGCAGTGTGCATCTACAGACACGTGCAGAATGTCACTCTGATGATGAGGGCAGGGGCTTGCTATCTAATTGTAGTGAGTGATTCATTCATCTGTACATCACACCTTTGCATACGTTTGAACATATGGGAATTTGGGGCTAGGTCTCATCCCAGATATTCTATTCAAGTAAAAGGTCCTTGAGACTTAAAGAAGCAGATCTAAATCATTAACAAGCTGTGGATTTCCTTAGTTTCAGCAGCAGTGCTAGTCCTAGCACAGTTGTAATCAAACCTGGGTTGGCTGCATATCTTCTGAATCAAATCCCAATGTGTTCTTTGGAACAGGCTGCCCAGGGAAGCGATGGAATCACAGTCCCTGGAGGTGCTCAAGAACCACGGAGATGTGGCACTGAGGGACACAGTTAGAGGGCCATATTGCTGGTAAGTGAACAGTTGGACTTGTTGCTCTTAGAGGTCTTTTCCAACATTAATAATTCTATAATTCTATGATAGACCCAAATGGCAGCAAGAGGAAGCAAGCAATGAAAATTCTAAACAGCCAATGTCTTTTCTGAATATTTAGTGAGACCATTATGCACACACTGACAGCCTCCCCTTAACACAGCAATTTTTATCAAGTGAGAAATGCTTTGAGTAAAAATAAAATTAAGTAAACTTATGTCATTTCAGTGACTGGAATCCATCCCAATTTCTGCAAATTCAAAGTAAAGAAATGTTGCATGGCTTCATTATGAATGCTTACATGAAATGTTGCTTGACAACATATCACACCATGACACAGCCATAGCCCATAGTTTCATAGGATGAAAACTGGAAACTCTTTGAATACTCAAGATTTAGCTCTCTTAGTTCAAGATTCTTTAATATAGGTAATATAAAATGGAGTTATCACATCAGTTATCCTTCATTTCATTTCTAAACCACTGCAGGAAACAAGCAGAAAACACAATGTGGAGACTACTGGACCTTATATCTAATGCCAAGAGGCAGAAGTGCTTTCCTTCCAATTAAGATTTCATCTGAATCAATAAAATATTAGCATAATATAAAAGATCTTCAAGAAAGAAAAAACATCAAAGAAGCCATAACAAACTAGAAGCTGACTACTGCTGCTCTTTCATGTATAATTGTGTTTCAAAAAAGGATTTGCAGATTGAAAGCCATAAAAGACCACCGGACAGAATGAGTGAAACCGTGAAGAAACGTGCTTGCATTTATATCCAGCAGCTAAGACCATTGCTACAGTCCCTCATACTCCTCTATATAATGTGAAATGGGAACCAATAGCAAGCCTTTCTGTACCTGAGAGAAGATTGCTTTATGACTGCTTATATCCTTGTAAGCTACATTGCTGTGTCTCATCAATAGTAAATGTAATGAATGGATCCCATCCAGCATGTCAATTTTGAACTCTCCCAGATTTTTTAACCCAGTGTCTGGGGGAAATCTTGCCATTTGTGGCCTCCTGTAGGGAAGAGTTTTCTTGTCCTGGGTGCTTCAAGCAGTAGTGTGAACTTTTGGGAACTCTCCGCAATCAGAGAGCCACGTTCCTGTAGTCTTAAAATAATCCCTTTCATGAGAACTCTAAAGGGCACAAACCAACGTGCAGTCTGCTCCCCTTGAAGCCAAGTCTGAGTATGTGTCACCATGGGCTGGAGACATGGAGAAATATATCTTCCACTATTTGTGTTCTCAATTGAGAGTTTTACTGCACCAGAGAACATAAACCTGTCTGAAAAAACTGATGTTAAAGGGGAGATTCAAAACATCCAGCCCATCAGGACAACCAGAGCTACTGATAGAATCTTCATGGAATTATAAGTAATAAAATCCCTTAAATCTCTCCAAATGGTGGGCTGGAAAACTCATTAATTTGTACCCAAGGAAATAACTAGAAATAGGTTCTTTCATCAACACTGAATTCTCATCCAAAGGCAAGCTGACGTTTCTGCATTTCCTAGTGTTCCTACCCCTAGAAAAGGTCACCATGTCCTCCTTGGCACTGCAAATCTTTCCCTTCCTTGTGATGGCCTAGACCAAGCTTCTCTCACACTAGCCTTACATGGTGCAGTGGGAGAAAAATGACTTGAGTTCACAGCCTTTTGATTAATTGCTGTGACTTTTAATGAGTGCCAAAAGCTCAAATTTTGCAAGAGAAATAGCTGCCTAATATAACTGGCCTTAGGCCACCAACTTGTTTTCAAACAGCACTGCCTAGCCCTGGTCATTATCCAAATCCAAATCCCAGACAGAGGGAGGGGGGAGACTCTACATTTTTAAATTCAGCCCTCATACCATCCAAGCACTGCTTTTGAGCCACAAAAGCATACCTACAAAGGAAACTAGACAGGGAAACAAGCTCATTAACCAAGACTTTGGGAAGGACGAAGCAAGAGTGGCCAGTCCGAATTTATTTCAAAAGGGCAAATGGAAGCTGCTCTCAGGCTATCAAAGTCACAGTAAAACACTGCTATTCAACCTCCCTGTAGGCTTTACTGAGCTGAAGTGGAGAGCCAAGACACTGAGCACAGAGTCCTGGCCCCACAAAAGGGAAAGGCAACCTTAGTGGTCATGGTGGCAATGGGTTGATGCTTGGACTAGATCACCTTAGTGGTCTTTTCCAACCTTAATGATTCTATGATTTTATGGTTTCTCCTCTAACTTCCAACGTCAGGGCCAAGACTCCAGCTGGATCTCTTGCTTTGTGTTCTGCCATAAGCTCAGCAACTTACACCACATCCATGGTGTCCCATCACCTCCTCCGCTTGCACAGGAGGAATACATTTCCAGCCCTCTGTGAGCTGCTTGGCCCAAAAGCCTTACAGAGAGCTCGAGGTTGCTGTCATGCTCCTCTTACACAAAGCAGAAAGCAGGAGGATGCTGAAGCCAGGACTGCAGGACGGGATAGCGCTCTTGATAAATACAATAAAAGCTACCCGGCAATCAGTAAACAGTGATATAATTAGCAAATGTTTTTCTATTTACTTCCTTTAATATGCAATAGGGGGAAATGAAATAAAATGTCAAGGACTTCATCAAACAGATGGTTCTGCACTTATTATTTTTCTCTGCCGCATTGTTTGCGTCAACTAAAGAAGAAACTCTTTTACGAAGTGTGACTCATGGATTCCTGGGAAGCTTCATTCTCAGTGGGGAGAGGACAGCAGGGGAGGAGAGGAAAGGGGAGGGAAGAGGACTCAGCTCATGAGCTTTTATTAGGAGCATTATTATGTCTCATTAATTAATCTGACCGCTGCTTTAGTGACGTCTCGGTCTCATTTCACAGGAAAAAATTACTCTGGATTGCCAAGTTAAATAGACAATTACAGGAAGATCAAATTATGCCTACATTGCATTCCCTCAGGGCACCAGGCCAAGTTCATGTCAAATCCATAATAACTAGACTACCCTCACTAAAAACAGCTCCTGTGGACATACGTCATGAACCATTTGTAATCTACACAGAGGATGTATTGATCTTCCTTGTGCTTCCTTTCTCATAAACTCATAATAGCAAAGACGGGATTTTTTAAGTATCTAACTCTCAGCTGCACATATGCAGAGCATAAGCTGCGTTAACTCCAATAAAGCGCAATTAAAGCATAACCATTAGCTGTTTAATTTCCTTTTCCTATCCCAACGGACAAGTGCCTAGAGAGCAGGAGGAGAAGCTTAGTACATTTCAGAGAAGGAATTAAAAAAAGAAAAAACCCAACACGTTACAAATGAAAATTTTCCCTGAAGAAACACAAATAGGTAAAATCAAGAAGAGATTTCTCTTGATCTGGTGTAAATAAAAACAGCTTTCAAGATCTGCTTTGTATACAATTGGAAATCCATAAGAAAAGAAGGGCTGTGGACATATTGGTCTACAAGAAGTGCAACGCCCTTTAAAAACCGGTTGACTAGATGACACCAGCAAGACCTATGCCTTTCAATCCCACCATCATGTTTCATTCTGCCACCTGCAGCCCTGAGCTCTTGATCTATTCTTTCTCTATTCTCTTCATGTGCAGGTCTGTCTTTTTCTCCTTGTCCCTGTTCAAGGGCTCCCAGCCAGATGTGTCACATTGTCCCCAGCCCCAGTGCATCCCCCCACCAGTCCTGGTGCCTCAGAGCTGTCTTTCAAACACAGGTTTCCTTATTCAACCAACAAGTCCCGCTGCCTCATGAGAAACTGGAGTCCATTCAGCTGGCACACCAGGAGCCTGGCATGTCCACTGTGGCACAAATGCGCACAGAACAGTGAGAACAACTTGACTGCACGGACAACAATCATATCGAGCCCCCAAGGAGCAGCCAGCTGAGTTCCAATGTCCCTGTTGGCCCAGGGTAAATTTTAGCATGAATTTGCACATCTGTCTAGTTGTTCTTGGCTGCTGGGGACAACGTCCTCGCTACACGGTCCGCACAGGTCAAGGCAACTGCAGCAGAAAACACAACCAGTGTTTCAGAGCTGCTTTTCGAGCTAATGTGGGGACTCTGGAAGACGCTTTGTTGTCTCTTTCTTACCTTAATGCTGTGCAAGCAATGAGTGTTATTAAATCTCTGTTCCTTTCCCAGGCTGTAATGCTCTCTTGTTCTCTCTACTGCTCCAGCTGAGGATTTTTCCTGATCCCAGCCAGCTTATTCAAGTGACAAAGCAGATCACTTTGCAAAGTGGCCATCAGCCAAAACAGTGACCTTTTTAACAGTGAGGTGAAATGGCAGTATTTTGATTATCACGGGGCTTTTGTTTTGGAAAGTTAGTTTTCCTTCTTTAACCACCAAGCAGCTTTTTACCTTAAGAGCTGTTGCAAGAAGAAAAGTAGGAATATGATAAAAACTGTCTAAAGCTGGTGATGAGATACTCCATGTTTTTTCTCTGGCATTTAAAAAATGTTGCCAAACTTCTGTGACTCCTGTTAATCCTTCCTTTTGAAAACTACTGCTGGATCTTCAAATAGTAACAGTGAGTGGTGTGAGAATGCCTAAGACACCTTATACATTATTGTGAGATGCATAAAACATTATTCCCTCTTCAATTTTAGAGAAAGAAAATTCATTAAAAGGGAAAATTACAATAAAAAAAAAGAAAACCCCAAATACAATCTTTGGGATGGAGGATCATCAGCAAAGGATTGTGCGCTGATAAAGTTTTTCCTGTTCTGAAATAGCAGTAGGAAGAGGTGGAACCATCAGCTTCTTGTTTGTTTCTCAGCCATAGCTCTCAGTGTGGGCAACCAGAGCCTTGTTGCACTCCTTTCACTTTTGTCAGCTTTTGATAATTCCACATTGCTGAATTTTGTTCAGACTTCACCCATTTGGTGTTCACCTCCCTACAAAATAACTGATGGACCCTCAGTGCAAAGGAGATTTTCTGACAGCAGGAGGAATTGAGCTGAGAAGGGAGACTGTATGTATCATGGAACCCTGCCTTCTGTCTGCTAATGAAATATTATTTTATAATCATGATTTGAGAACCTCCCTTCTCTTGATACTAATATTCCCAAAAGAATAGAAGTTCACGTGATACAAGGCTCTCAAAGGGTAATCTTACAGTTGTGAAATCAGTAAAGTCTTCCTTTTCTACCAAAAATAAATCCACAGAAATGCAAATACATTATCTGCTAATGAGGGTAAGGAGAAGTGCAAGAAGCCTTCACTCTCTAGGCAGCAAAACTTGTCCTGCACAATGTCATGTGTCATAGCAACACTCCTTTTCTGCAGCCAATAAATATCTCATCTTCTATCCCTCATTATTTACAATCCACTGCCCAGTGGAAAAGGTGTTTATAGAGAGGTTAGCTGCCAAGCTTCACAAGTCCATAGCATAATCTTCTGGTGCATGTTTTCTCCAAAGAACCTACCCTCTCTTTACGATCCCCTGGCAATCAGATGTGCTAGGAAGAAGCTGTTTACTGGCAGAGGTGCAGCAGCCCCTCACCACCTCTGGCACTGTTTCACCCCTGTAAAAGTCACCATGTCACGTCTCATTTCCCAGAGCAGGAGATGTCATGCAGCATGATGAAGATGCTGGCTGGTGCATACTCCTCCAGCAGACCAGGAATAACAGCTGTCACCCGTGTTTTTACTGTACTTCTGTCTGCACCTGCTTGTTCTTTCTGCAAGTTCCTATGTTTTTTTGCTTCCATATACTCAGACGTCCTGCAATGGCTTTGTTATCTCACACAGACTGATGTGGTCAAAGCTTTTGCCCAATGGGCACGAGGAAAAGCAAAGAAGTAATGCCAACTAACAACATGCTTTCCAAAAGAGACAACATGCTTCTTTTGTGGCTCGCAACATATTCTACATACAGTATGTCTCAGTGTTTTCTCTACTACAAGGGTGTAGCAGAACGAACTACTCAGCTTCTGGCCCATTGGAAAGACTCATGGTGGCATGCTTCAAGGGTGGTAGAGTGGAGTATAACACATTTATTCTAAACGCTGTCAAATTAATCTTAGTGCTTAGGATAGGGGAGAATCATACTTCTAATAAGCCAAAAACAGGGCATCTACAAGACACATCAGGGACTGAGGATGAGATATAAGATTGGGCTCGTGTCACTACTGCAATAGAGGACTTGTCTTTTTATCTCTATTTATTTATTTTCAGATTTCAGTAGAGATCCAGATTTGAATGAAAGTCTCTCCTCAGAGAGGAGGAATTGCTAAGAAGTTAGAGGAGGAAAAAGTACCTTCTTTGTTTACTCAGTCTTTAAATATTTTATCACAATGGTAGTTTACGCACAGCCCAGTTAATGCATTCTCATTCACATCCCTTATCATGGACTAAGGGCACGTATTGTGCATGAGTCATAATTAGATTGTTAGTATAATACTAAAAGGAAAACAAACAGCCCATATCTCCCTGTCACACTAACAATAAGCTGACACATACTTAATCAAAATAGAGGATGCTGAATTAATTCAAAGAAGCTGATTTTCAAGAAGGACAATTGGAAATTCCTCTCCGAGCAGTTAGTCACTCAGGAGGAGTTCAGCCAAACATAAGATGAAATTTGTCACATTCATTCCAGAATTAGTCATTTCTCAGAACTTATTTCAGTTTTCTTTAACGTATTTCCAGACTTCACAGTGAAGCAGATGACGAATGAAAGATTGATGCAACTAAGTACTAAGAGGCTCAGACACAAGAAAAAGATTCTGTGGGGAAATTTCTTTGCTCACACTTCTGACATCAAGCCAGGAGAACCTTCTCGTGCCCTGGCAAAGCTTGCACCAGTGGAAAAGTTTAGGAAAATGAGAGACCCAGTTAACCAGTTGCTGAGAAACAAAATGACGAATAGTACTATTTGTCAAAGATCCTCATTTCTGCAGCTGGCCCTTTGTTAAAGAACTATAGCAGTTACTGGAGCAGGAAAATGAAGCAATTGCTGGCCCTTCAGCAGCTCAGCATGGGACTGGCAGTTCTGCCCTGCTCTAGGTATTCCTGTGCCATCCACTGGAGGAATACCAGATGTTAGGGTGGACTCTACTGGCAACACTATCAGGTATAGGAACAGAGCCAGAAGCCTTGCCAAAGCTCAACAAAAAGCCAACCCAGCTCAACAAAAGCCAGCCTTATTTACCTCTATCAGCCAAATAAAGAAGAAAGATATTCCACTTACAAGGCAGGAAGAAAAGAAACACGGTGTGCTAGGTACCTGTGTTAGTCCATCATGACTACTTTTGTGCACTTGAACAAAAATACACCTTCCTCCTCTAGCTGTAATTTTTGGGCACCCACTGGATGGAGAAAAAGAAGCAGCTAAGACACAAAGACATTATCTAGACGATATACAGGCATCTTATATTTAAATGTTTAAGTTCAGCATCAAATACAGCAAGGAGTAAACATTCTTTTGCTTTACGTTCAATAATGCACCTTGTTTCCAAACTTACACCTGTTAGTTACTTCCTTGCCCAGCAAGCAGTACTTCTGTTATACAGCATCATCTGTTATACAGAAAAATAAATTCCTAAAGAAATATGTAGGAAAAGGATAAATACTTGGAACTCTGATGGATATACTTTTGATTTATTATATTAATAATACTGGAGTTTTCTCCTACAGGTAACAGGAAAAAAAATAGATTTGTTTGACTAGAGTCACATTTCTCCTGATTTACGTGAGTAATAAAACTGTTATGAAATTCTTTTGGAAGAAATCATCACTGCACATGCTTAATGTTTGTCCCAAGTTTTTCTTCCTCTCAGACTGTCTGGCCTTTTCCTGCCAATTTGCTCATCAGAGCTCTGTTTATGTTTACAGAGCCACAGCTAAAAACCTGCATGGAGCAAGTCAGAAATGATCATCTCATCCATATAATATTCCTGTGCACAGATCTGACAAGTCTTTGAGGAAAAAAAAGTTCAAGATGATTAGTCATGTTAGTTTCATGTTCCTGAGCAGCAAATTACTCATTTTGTATCAGCAGAAGTAGGGGAAATAAAATAACAAACAACAACAACAACAACAAAAACCCTGCAAATCATGTCTTAGATCTGACACTTCTGGAGTAGACAAAGAGAAATTACTCAATGGAAGAATCAAGCAATATCTATCCAAGATTGAATGCCAATATATTTCTGAAGACATGAAGACATGAAATGTGATGATTAAGCAGTTTTATTCAGCACTGCTTGAAAAGTCATTTTTACATGGCAGTTACAGATCATAAACATTTGTTGCTTGACTTCTTCATCCTACAGGGAAGGCTTCCTAGGGATGGCAGAAGGAGGCTATGTGAGCAGCTTCGTGAGAATTAATTTGTCAATGAAATGGCATGCTGATTTTTGGCTGGTAGTCTGGAGAATGATAGTGACTCTTTAATGCAGTTAATTATGCCCAGAGAAGAAAGCTCTAAGATTTGATGAGCACTGGCTCATCTGGCTCTATGGCCATCTGCTGACAAAAGCAGGTGAGTCATGGTGTCCAGCAGCTACCTGGAAAAGCAGGATGTCCTCCTGTTACTTATCGTTCTTCACTGTAGAAATTCAGTTTTTTATGAAAGTAACCTTTTATTCTCTCAAATGTTAAACCAAGAATAATGTAAAAAAACAAACAAACAAACAAAAAAACAACACAAAACTAACTAGAATGAAAGCCTTAAGATAAATCTGTTTTATGAAAGTCTGCTAATAATAAAAGAAAAGTGAATTCAAGCAAGTTTTAGCATGTAACCATTACCACCAAATGTGACATAGCTGATGCTTTCCAACACTGATAGATGGAATCTCCTGGTCCTTTGTTACATGAGGAATAGAGTCCAACTTTCATACGTGGCAGAGAAATGAGAGTGACAGCTGCTGCACCCCAGCTATTCCATTCACAGCTTCTTCCCTGTACACTGTGCTCTCACTGCCTGGCTTGTCACTGTCTGCCACCACTGTCACTTGGGTCTGAGGATGGGCTGGTAGCACGGGATTCATTCCCTGCCTGCATGGCTGGTGCTTGCCTGCAGTTGAGCAGCCTTCTCACAAGTGAGACGAAATGCCCTGCAGCCTCAAGAAGATGCACTAGGCACATGTGGACATCTGCACGGAGCAGCAAGTGGCCTACATGTCCTCAATTAAACCTACCCTTGGTTTTGTGTGCTT